AAATTAAAAAATACTATGCACATGGATGATAAAATTTCATCAATTTAAGAGCCCTGTATTATGTAGCATGGAATTTTATATATTAATAATTCAAACAAGGTCAAAATGTATTTCAATTTTTAGGTAGAATAACCTAACCATTTTGTTAATATTAAAAATAGGATAAGTCAATATTTCAAGCATTCTTCTAGAGTAAGATATATGAAAAACAAACTTTACTTTTTAATTTTAATAAAATACTAAGCCGCAGTGTAGGAAACACTGAAAAATATTCCATACTTACTGGAAAGCTTGGCATGTCATCAAAGCATGTGTTATGAACATTTTCCATTTTGTTTACATTTTTCTCTCACTTTAATGTTATTTCTAATTAAGAAAAGCATCTCAGACGTACTGAGCACTCAATGCCTATTCTTAAGTTTGTGTACAAACCACTTTGACGTAATTGTTTTTTTATTTTTTTGTCTTTTTTTTTAACATAAGTTATTCTTAAAGTCTCTTAATACTGCTTTTTAAAAAGACAAGGATGTCACAATATTAGAATGAGTGTGCTTTTCCTATAATATGTAATGCTTATATTTTCTTTAAGTTTATAACTTACACTTAAATCTTGAATGTATACATACTGAGAGATTTTTATTCAAACTATGTAATAAAATTAGAATTATATAAATTTTCCATAAAACGAAAAGAATAAGGTATGCTTCTAATATTAATCTGTACATAGAAAACATAAATAACTTTAATATATATTTAATTATTAATTTTACTAAAATGCTTCCACCTTATGTAAAGGAAAACATAAACACATCTTACAAATATAAAACTGGGAAAAAGCATTTTAAAGCTTCAGAAATATTTATCTGTAAAGGCAAGAAATTAATGAACCTTAAGTATAAATCAAAAGTATAAATCTACATATTATAGAGGCACATCACCTACTTTTACAAGTGAGTACCTGGAACAACTGAGACTCAAAGCTGTGAAAGTGACTGGTGAAGAAAAAAATCCATGTTTTGGTAATGTCACTGTAAACACTGTATCATACTGTTGCTCCTAACACAGGCCTCTTGCCATGTATCACACTAAAAGTTTATACAATATGCCATTAACTATGTATTAATCAGTGCCCAAACAATGAACAATTACTCTTCCATTTATATTGGTTCCCTAGTTTTCCAAAAGAACACAAGAAAAATGAGCTCTTAAATATGCAGATTTCAACAGTTTACTACTCTTCATTTTTTTTATACAATTTTAAAAGCTCATCCATTCTCTTAGTATACTGTGTGTTAAGATTGTTCCACACTTACCTCTTTCCAAGGACTGACAAACTGTGTACGAGCATATCGAGTTAGCATGTGGATTATTACAACCTGTCCCCACTCTTCTACATCAACTAGTAAATTACATAGCTTGCGGTAATTCTTGTGAATCAGATCTATTCTATCCGGGCATACTTCTTCAAAAGCCATCACAACACTGCCAGCTACCAGCTAGAAAAGAAAGAAATAGTAACTCATTAAAAAAAAAGTTATTCCCTCATAAAAGATTCTACTCAGGCATAATGGTAATGCAATCAGTTTTATGACAATCGGTATTTAAAATATTCAGTCATTCAAAAACTAAAATTATTGTTCCTGTTTGAAAAACAAAATTTTAAAGTGTCACCCCTCAAAGAATAATTTTAATAGTTGTAACATGTCTGTAAAACTAATACCTTTCTAAAAAGAGGTAAATTCAGGTATTTTTTTCTCATCTGATTCAATTTCAATAAGCTATATGTATATGGATTAGATATACTAATCTTGTAGTTTTCCATTTTTAAAACTAACCAAAATTCTAATTTTAAGTTTCATTTTTTAGTATACAGCAATATTCAGGAAAACAATCAAGAAAATAACAAGGATCACCCTTTGTCAGTCTAAAATGAGGTTGATAATTATTCCATAATCAACTTATCTTAAAAAGTATATGAAAAACCAATACATGTTTTTAGCACAAAAACACTTTCAAATCTTACACATTTTAATCCAACTGATTGTTCTTATCAATATAATTATTTACAAAGAAAACACACTGGCTAAAATTCCAGTACATCTTATCACATATAGAACAATGTGTATAAGTTGAAATAATGTACTCCAGCAAAAGGCAGCTTTCTCCAAGACCAATCAGTGAGCCATAAATGCTATTTTTTGACTTGTTATGCTTTTAAAAAGTAGAGAAATTAAGATTTCATTTGTATAAAGATACAAGCTAAGCAGAATATATAATATACTAATAGTTCTACCATTGATATATACACAGTCAACGATATAATATGGTTTAGAAAAAACAAATTAATTTCATATTCTTCCTGAACACCAGGGATCTTCATTTTAGTGTCTAAAATTTCCCCAATGATTTAAAATAAGCAATTAAATAGAAATATAACTTACTGAAATGGTGCTTTTTGAAAAATATTAGATACAATGATATTCATATTTTTAGTGTTTGTCCCTCTACTTGGCTGACATTTAGTTTATTAATATGCAACCAACAATACAATTGAAAGAAAACAGCTCAGAATATAGACTTGCTATTATGCTAAACAAGTTTCAAGTCCTGTGGGGATTTTATGAATTACCAATCAGTATAAACGTGAAGCTGCATTTATTGACTCCAGCCCTGCCCATGTACTAGTGCCTGCTGGTCCCAGCATGTATGCAACTCAATCAAGAAAGCAAAGAAATGATTATTTTTGTGAGCTAAATAAAAAATGTATTATATGTATAATTTTCTATTTGCTACTGATATGGAAAGGAAGTTAAGTTCATGTTTTTAACTCTACATTTTGATGTCTTCTGCACAAATCACTTTTGAGATATTAAAAATTCTGTGATAATCATGTTTCTATAGGTTACAAGTAGTATAATTTAAAAATTTCTTTAAACAACTAAGTTTATCACATAAAACTATACAACAACTTAGTATTTGTGATATAAACTGGAAAAGGTGTTAAAGTACAAAAATAAATAATACCACTCAGAATAAAATAACCTATGAAAATGAAAAAGTAGCTAGTTATTAAAACTTAACATATACTAAGTAAAATCAAGTTATTTTGCCTAATTCTAGAAATTCATTTGTTTTCAAATGTGTCTAGACACCAACAATTAAAAGGAATATACTCTTAATCAGCCATCACCTGATTTTAAATTTAAGCCTAGAGTTATAAGTACACAATAATTCTAGAGCCCTGGTAGCACAGTGGTTAAGAGCTACAGCTGCTAACCAAAAGGTCAGCCATTCAAATCCATCAGCCACTCCCTGGAAACTCTATGGGATAGTTCTACTCTGTCCTGTAGGGTCGCTATGAGTTGGAATCGACTTGACGACGAAAGTACTAACAAAACTTAAAGTACCATAACATAAAAAGATAACAGAGAGAATATAATTAATTACTCAACTACAAATACATTTTAAGGAAATAAAAAATTAGGAAGAATGTAGAGAAGTACCTTCACAAAATAAAACTGACCATTTTAGAAACTTCATTGTATAGTTTTAACAGTCTCACCCTGGGCTAAATGCTGGCAGAAGAATTAATCATTTTAGTCTATTAAATGTTCAATATTCTATGAAACATTTAAAATTAAAATAAAATGATCTACTCAATTTTTAAAAGCAAAAATATTGGTTTCCAAAACACAGACGGTTAATTTCCATCTCACTGTGTCAACAGTAGCTTTTTATATAAGGGGAAAAATAAATCACTCTAACAAAGCTAGCAATGAGCTCATCAAATTCAAATGCAGTTTTCCATTTATGTATTTTTTATATTAAAGAAATAAACATGGCTCATTTATCTTCCCTTGGTTGCCACGTTCTTCTGTGCTGTTGCTATGAACTTCAGCCATTAGCTGTGCTCCATGGTAAACTACATGAACCATCAACAAAAGTGACACCCCATCTATGGAGTTCATATTTTCTCCAGATTATCTATGCTAGTTGACAAGCTGGTAATGAAAAAAATCACACTAAGCAAATGGTTCCTCTAATAACAATAAATTTTCTATAAAATTATGAAGGGTACAAAATGTTTCCTTGCATCTATTTTGTCATGAATTCTAATTAACGGTGCAAAAACCTGAGAGTGCTGGGTCATCACAAGAAGTGCATCAAGGTTTGATTGATAATATGGTATAAGTTGGCCAATGCTGCCAAGATTTTCTTCTCTTAAATTAATGGCCATCCAGCCTGCCCTAATCATACAGCCCAAATGATATTCCCCTTCTTATTTCAATTTTCTAGAGGCATGGAAAATGGGAAAAATCAGTCATTTATCTTCTAATAGCTGGATAATAGATCCATCACAATAAAACATCTGCGCAAACTCAGAGGTGTGTTTTTTTTCTCCCCCACACAGTGAAGCTTTTACCAACATTAAATCAATAACATATAAAAAACATTAAATCAATAACATATAAAATGGCATCTTACCCCTATAGTTTAGCTATGAACTACCAATATATTCATTAAACATCATTTTGCAGCTAAAATTAAGGGAAGGAAACTTTTTTTCATCAAAAAAATATATAAACAACGTAATTTTTCAGTAGTATTGACCTAATTTATTTTCCTAAGAAACTTTGTTTTTTTATTAGAAATTTAAAAGCTATCAAAAGGATTTCCTTTAAATTAACCTGAAAGGAAAGGAAATAAATAGCACCTGCTTTATGAGGCATTCTAATTCACGGAGAAAATTTCTACTTCTATGCTTAAAATGCTTAATAACAAATATGGATTTCTATATTTTAAAGAAAAACAAGAGCAAGTACTTTAAATTTAAAAAATGAATTCACAATTGATCATTAGGAAAGCTATGTAGTAATGTAGAAAAGTGCTAAGGATACATTAATAAAGAAAGTCATATAAAAATGGTATAAAATCTAAGAATATACACTAAAAAATCATATAAAGAAAAATTATTACGGTGGTTTGGAAATAAGAGAATATAGATAATATGCCCCCTTTAATTTCACTGACTATAACTGCAAGATTTTTGTAATGTATTTTAAAATATACAGATACCTTCCAACAAGTTACCTAAATAATGACAAGAAGTTCTTACAGTTATATTACCATAACTATATTCCGAAACCCAAAGTAATTTATTTTTTAAAACGGACTGACCATGTGACAAATATTGGTCTTTCTCTTGTAAACAGGAAAACCCATTCCATTATATTTTAATATACTTAAATTTTCTACCTTTCCTTAGTACAGGAATTATAGAACTAATTTTTTTCATTTCAATTTTAAATAAATCTTTTAAGCTAAAAGAAGCAGTAAAAAGTATATCTAACAATAAACAGAGGTTAAATGAAGAAAGTTTTCTTAAGAGATTAATCCCTTTTGTGTATACCAACAGCAGGCAACAGCAATGTCATCATTATGATAATGGTCCCAAGAAGTTCCTAAGGACAGCAAATAAATTCCTTTCCAAATGTGGAAATAAATTAGACCTGGTTCATTTAATTGGGAATTTTTTTTTTAATAAAAATGATTGGTGATTTTGTGTTGAATTTAAATATCAATGCTGACATTATATATCTGGGGGGAGAAGAAATGTAACTGTCTCCCTTCAATAAAGTATAACACACAACAAAGAAACAATAGTGTAAAAGACTAATAACTGTGTATATATAAAAAACATTTTTACCTTTCTAGAACAGACTATAATCATGCTAAAGAAAAACAATAATCAATCAACATTTTTTTTTAATTAATGTAAATACTGGAAAGCCAAAGGGGCTGGGCAAGTCTGAATCTCCCAATCTAGCCCCCGCCAAAATAAAAATACCAAAAGCTATGCAATCTGCAAAACTCAGAGAGTTCTCAAATTTCATCTTACTTGTAAGTAGAAAAATAAACATTAAACCCCAGAGACCTCTATCTCAGGCTTATATCACAAAATTTCTCAAAGACCTATGACAATCTGGGAAAAAATTGCCCAAGACAGACGAGACAAGAGCTAGTGGCAGGCGTAACAGAGAACTAAAATCAACAGCAGGAACAGAAAGATCACCCTAAATGTGAAAATAATGAAAAAGATTCCTGATCAATCAGCACAGATTACAGAGAAGGGACTTCAAGGGTAACTCAGTGAGGCAATCTTGGAAATTTTCATGGAAGAAATGGGTTTAAAAATGGGTAGGAAAGAGAAGAGCCCTTTAGAAACTATGAGGTGACAAGAATAAGAGGAGTAAATTTAGGATCCTGCAAGACCAAAATAATAATAATAATCAAAATAATTTTAGGATATGTACACCTTCCTATGTGTGCCCCTCTCCCCCTACCAAGGCCACCCAATTAAAAAAACATACTTTGTTATACTGACAGAGAGGGTACTGCTCATGTACTAGGAACCTTGCAAACTATTTCAAATTTATACCACTAACCTTTTCCCCAAAACACAAAGATAAACGTGTTCTACAAGTATTAAAAACTATAAAAAGAAAATAGACGATAAAAATCAAAATAATACAACTGATGAAAATTACACACAAAAAATTACTGATGAATCAAAAGGAAACTATAATACAACCCTCCAAAATGAATTAAGTACCCTCAAAGAACCATCTGAAGATAGGAAAAAAAAGAACATAAATCAAAAATTTTAAAAATGAGAAAAGAAGTGACAAGGGCCAGAAGGCAGAAGGGGACAAGGAAGCTGGTGATAGGGAACACAAGCTTGAGTAAGGATATTGTTGATGTGCTGTGAGATTGTTAACCATTGTCATAGGGCAACATTTGTAGTAACTGTTAAATGAGAAACTATTTTGTTCTGTAAGCCTTCATCTTAAGTGAGAATAACAGCACAATAGGAAGAGCGTAGTCAGTGTCACTGAACTGTGCATGTAGAAATTTTTGAAACGGTGTATCTTTGGCTATGTGTATTTTCACCAAAAAAAAAAAAGGTTGAGAATTTAGAGGGTTAATATGTTGTGGGGTTGTTAACCAATGTCATAAAATAACACGTGTACTACTGTTTCATGAGAAACTATTTGTTCTGTAAGCCTTCACGCCTGTGGTCAAGTTGTACTCTGCTGCTCAACAGCTGTACAACTTTGGATTTGGCATTCTGATTTTTACTTGGCTGATTGATAAGCAAGTGTAAATGAGATAAAGAAATAAAAGTGCTTTTAAACTTATTAGTTTTTATGCAAATGTGACATAATATATCAGAAAATCAATGACTGAAATATGGTCTCAGAAAATTTTCAAGTCATCAAATAAAGTGGCTCTGAAATATAAAAAAAAAAAATGAGAAAAGAAATCAGGAAGAAATAAAACAGTAGTTGATTGAAATCATGAAGGAAATTGGGTGGGGGGTTGTCATTGTTAGGGGTTGTCATTGTTAGGTGTTGTCGATTCGGTTCCTACTCATAGTGACCTTATGTACAACAAAACAAAACAATGCCAAGTCCTGCGCCATCCTCACAATGGTTGGTATGTTTGAGCCCATTGTTGCAGCCACTGTAATCAATCTATCTCATTGAGGATCTTCCTCTTTTTCACTGACCCTCTACTCTACCAAGCATGATGTCCTTCTGCAGGGACCGGTCTCTCCTAATAACATGCCCAAACCAAGTGAGACGAAGTCTCGCCATCCTTGCTTCTAAGGAGTACTCTAGTTGTACTTCTTCCAAGACAGATTTGTTCATTCTTTTGGCAGTCCAAGGTATATTCTATATTCTTCCACAACACCATAATTCAAAGGCATCAATTCTTCTTTGGTCTCCTTTATTCACTGTCCAGCTTTCACATGCATATGAAGCTACTGAAAATACCATGGCCTGGGTCAGGTGCACCTTAGTCTTCAAGGTGACGTCTTCGCTTTTTAACACTTTAAAGAGATCTTTTGCAGCAGATCTGCCTAATGCAATAAGTCATTTGATTTCTTGACTGATGCTTCCATGGTCGTTGATTGTGGATCCAAGTAACGAAATCCTTGACAACTTCAGTATGTTCTCCATTTATCATGATGTTGCTTATTGGCCCAGTTGTGAGGAATTTTGTTATCTTTATGTTGAGGTGTAATCCATACTGAAGGCTGTGGTCTTTGATCTCATCAGTAAGTGCTTCAAGTCCTCTTCACTTTCAGCAAGCAAGGTTGCATCATCTGCATAGCACAGGTTGTTAATGAGTCTTCCTCCAATCCTGATGCTGCATTCTTCTTTATATACTCCAGACTCTCGGGTTATTTGCTCAGCATACACATTAAGTAAGAATAGTGAAAGGATATGACCCTGATGCACATCTTTCCTGACTTTAAACCACACAGTATGCCCCTGTTCTGTTCGAACGACTGCCTCTTGATCTATGTACAGGTTCCTCATGAGCACAATTAAGTGTTCTGGAATTCCCATTCTTTGCAATGTTATCCATAATCTGTCATGTTTCACACAGCAGAATGCCTTTGCATAGTCAGTAAAACACAAGTAAACATCTTTCTGGTATTCTCTGCTCTCAGCCAAGATCCATCTGACATCAGCAATGATAGCCCTCATTCCACCTCCTCTTCTGAATCCACCTTGAATTTCTACAGTTCCCTGTTGATGTACTGCTGCAACTATTTTTGAATTATCTTCAGAAAAATTTTACTTGCGTATGATATTGATATTGTTTGATAATTTCTGCATTTTGTTGGATCACCTTTCTTTGAAATGGGCGCAAATATGGATCTCTTTCATTTAGTTAGTCAGTTAGTTGTCTTCCAATATTCTTGGCAAAGACAAGTGGGCACTTCCAGTGCTGTATCCATTTGTTGAAACATCTCCAGTGGTATTATCAATTCCTGCAGCCCCGTTTTTTGCCAGTGCCTTCAGTGCAGCTTCAACAACTTCTTCCTTCAGTTCTTGATCATATGCTATCTCCTCAAATGGCTGAACATCAACCAATTCTTTTCAGTACAGTGACTCTGTGTATTCCTTTCATCTTCTTTTGATGCTTCCTGCATTGTTCAATATTTTACCATAGAATCCTTCAACATTGTAACCCAAGGCTTGAACTTTTCTTTCAGTTCTTTCCGCTTAAGAAGTGCCGAGCGTGTTCTTCCCTTTTGGTTTTCTGATTCTAGTTCTTCGCATATTCCATTATAATACTTTATCTTATTCACTCTAGCTACTCTATGTTCAAGAGCAAGCTTCAGAGTTACTTCTGACATCAATTTTAGTCTTTCTTTCTTTCCTGTTTTTTTAATGACCTCTTGCTTGCTTCATGTATGATGTCCTTTATGTTATTCCACAACTCATCTGGTCTTCAGACTAAGACCAGATAAGTTGGGGGGGGGAGGGATATAATCAGACAAGACAAAATTGTAAGGTACCAAAGGAAGAAAAGAGTTGAATGAAAATTTAAGAAGGGGCACTGAAGAAAGGCAGAAAAAGAACCAAGAGAAAGAAAACAATGTAAAGAAGCAAAAGGGTTAAAGATAGTAGCTGAAATGTAAAACAGGGAAAGAAGTTCCAACTTACATAAAATTGGATTCCCCAAAGAAAGAAAAAAGGTAACAATGGAACAGAATATTTAAAACTATAACCTTCAAAATAAATAAATAAATAAACTTATGTCAGAAATAAGTTCTGAATCATGTTAAAGGGTATACATTTCCAAAAAACTACTCATTTTAGCTAATAAGATAACTTTCAGTGGACAATAAAACAGCCCTGAATATATGAAAATATTTTACTGTTTTTTAAAAAATATTTTTATAATAATAAAACATATCCCTCTACTTTTCAAGATCTCTGTAATACTTCCTAATATTCAGTTTTAAAACAATTATTTGTTCCCAGATGATGCTGCCTTTTTAAAACCTAATAAATCATTGCTCAGAATAAAAACTGTGACACTAAAAGAAGTCAACAATTTAGCCACAGGTTAAATGAAGGATTTTTTTTTTCCAATTTGCCATTCTCCAGACTGTCGTGAAAAAATATGTAATAAACTAAAGTTCCAAATACAGTCCTTCTCTTTAAATGAAAATTTTGGTTCTTCACAGATTTTAAAAATAGTCTCTAGCTCCATTAATATTTAGTCCATTTTGAAATAAGTAATTATATAAAATATTAAATGGTAAAATGATACTATATAAATAAAGCAATATTTTACTGTAATGACAGAAAAGATATTACTTACTGTGCTTTTATCTTTAAGAAGTTTTTCAATTACTTCAATTAACATCTCCTTCTGCTCTGGATCAAGGCTAAAATGCAAAAAAAAAAAAAAATTAATTTTTTTCTTTTTTTCTCCCTTAATTCTAACTTAAACGATGCTCATCATTTCAATGATGCCGAGAAGTTTAAAAGGGGTAGGGGAACAATACTATGTCAAAATACAAATAAACAGAAAATGATTTGAAAGCAAAATGAGATGATTTTTCTCATAAATGCGTCTTACTCTTTCCCTCTAAACTTGCTCATATTAACTAAACCCACGTATCGAAGCATTAAGAAAGTACTTGAAGAAAAAGTTAAGAAAGTAACTGCAATCAGATAAACCACAAATCTGAAAGAATAAGAAAGCAATCATTTGTGACTATGGATGTGTAACTGCCAAAAACAAATACAGAGAATTTTAAAATAAGAATTTTTTATCATACTAGTTCACTGATGGAGACATACATTGTAAACCCTTCTATTTAAAACCAAGAACAATAGGAGAAGGTTCACAAATGTACAGAATTGAGAATTGCATCTTAGTAGCAGCTCTAAGCACTGAAATATTAATACTAGTCTAATTTTCCATCTAGCATAGAATTCAACTCATTCATTTATTGAGAAGTTAGACAATGGGTATACAAAGATAAATAAAAAGAGTCTAATAAAGATGGATTAAAACATAACCATACCATAATAACAGAGGTAAGTAGAAGAGATTATGGGGATAAGGAGAAAGGGCAACAACGGAGGCAGGATGGTTGTGGAAGGTTTCTTGTAAGAAGTGACCCCTAAGATGAATCTTAAACAACTTGACTTTAGAGCTGAGGAAAGGAGGACATATTTTAGGTAGAGACTAAAGCAGAAACAATGAGATTATTAAAAAGAAAAAAAATATGTAGGGGACTAATAAGCAGTACAAACCGACTGCAGTATAAGTTTAAGGCAGGAAGCGGTAAGATTTGAGGCTAGAAAGGCAAACTACTGCCCAGTGATGGACTTTTAAAACATCATAATAAGCTTGGATCTTACCCTGCAAGTTTATAACAAAAAAAGATAATTAGAAGGATGAGATTAACTCTGCCTGACAGTTAACCTAAGAAAATAAATTTTACTTTTTTATAAAGATTATACAATTTTATTATTAACCATTATAATTATCTGAACATTCAAAACTTTTCTTTCAAATTTCAGCTCAGGTTCTCCTTCTCCAATCGACCAATCCTAACTAATCCAATTTCATTACATCTTTACTTTCTTGTAACACTTTTTATATATAACAAACAAACAATCTATAAGCACCTATCATGTCAAAGCAGTTAGTGTGTCTTTGTATATGCATATATATCATGTGCTGGTATCTTATTCAACTATACATTGTCTTTAATTGTTTGGTATATGTTTGATTTTTTTTCCTCAAATATATGATAGGCTATTCATAAATATCACATCTTCTACCTTTCTCATAAATCTAATGTACACAACAGTGTATTGATAATAATTCTTTTATTTAGGCAATATGTTTTATACAGAAATCAAGGCATTGTGTGATTATTTTAGTAAATATATGGTACAGCACTATACTGAAAAACAATACTTTTTAAAATAATTATTTAATAAAATAGCCCTGGAAAAGAATCAGAAAAGTAATGGAGCAGAAGGAACAAAGATGACAGAAGGGAAAACAAGTTGAGAGGATAACAATATAAGAATCTATCCTGCAACAAATAAACAAGGAAGAAAAACCCGTCAATTTTCTAATAACGTTATGTGTGTGTGTGCATGAGGAGGCATCCCCAGGTGGTGCAAACAGTTAACACACTCAGCTGATAACTGAAAGATTAATGGTTTGAGCCCACCTAGAGGCACTTCGAAAGAAAGGCCTAGCGATATACTTCCAAAAACTCAGCCAGTGAAAACCGTACAGAACACAGTGGTCACCATAAGTCAGACTCTACTTGATAGAAACTGGTGCTGGTATGTGTGCATGGAGACATAGTCTACATGAATGAGAATTCAAATTCTGATTATTTTTAAGCTATCAAATGATTAAATTATCACAATCCCCAACAAGCTCACAATTAAAAACCTACAGAGTCTCTATAACAGAAACAAAATTAAAGTTGTCCAAAGAATGTGGGGGAAAAATAAAGTCATTGGGTTTACTTAGTATAAGGACAGGCTACTTGTAATAGTCAATAAAATAAGTCGCACGGGCTACCATTCCATGTAACGTTAAAGACATCTTGGGTGTTATTAACAAAGCACCTTTTGTTGTTACTGTTGTTGGGTGCCACCAAGTCTGTTCCAACTCATGCAACCCTATGTAGAACAGTTCTGCAAAACTGTTGTTATGCTTCAGCCACTGTGTCAATCCATCTTGTTGAGGGTCTTCCTCTTTTTTGCTGACCATCTAGTTTACCAAGCATGATGTCCTTCACCAGGGACTGGTCCCTCCTGATAACAAGCCCAAAGTATGTGAGACAAAGTCTTGCCATCCTCACTTCTAAGGAGCATTCCTGCTGTACATCTTCCGAGACAGATTTGTTCGTTCTTCTGGCAGACTACGGCATATTCAATATTGTTTGCCAACATCATAATTCAAAGATATCAATTCTTCTTTATTATTCATTGTGCAGATTTTGCATGTATATGAGGTAACTGAAAACATCAGGGCTTGAGTCAGGCACAACTTAGTCTTTAAAGTGGTATGTTTGCTTTTTAACACTTTAAAGAGGTCTTATGCAGCAGATTCGCCCAATGCAATAAGTTGTTTGACTCCTTGACTGCTGCTTCCATGGGTGTTGATTGTGGATCGAAGTAAAATGAAATCCTGGACAATTTCAAATTTTTCTCCGTTGATCATGATGTTGCTTATTCGTCCAGTTGTGAGGATTTTTGTTTTCTTTATGTTGAGGTGTAACCCATACTGAAGGCAATAGTCTTTGATCTTCATCAGTAAGCACTTTGAGTCCTCTTCACTTTCAGCAAGCATCACCTGCATATTGCAGGTTGTTAATGAGTCTCCCTCCAATCCTGATGCCCCATTCTTCTTCATACAGTCCAGCTTCTCAGATTATTTGCTCAGCATACAGACTGAACAAGTATGGTCAAAGGATATAACCCTGACACACACCTTTCCTGATTTTTAAACCTCGCCATATCACTTTGTTCCTCTCAAACTACTGCCTCCTAGTCTATGTACAGGTTTCACATGAGCACAATTAAGTGTTCTGTAATTCCCATTCTTCGTAATGTTATTCATAATTTGTTATGACCCACACAGTAGAATGCCTTTGCACAGTCAGTAAAACACAGGGAAACATATTTCTGGTATTCTCTGCTTTCAGCCAGGATCCATCTGACATCAGCAACAATATCCCTGGTTCCACGTCCTCTTCTGAATCTGCCTTGAATTTCTGGCAGTTCCCTGTCAATGCACTATTGTAATCGCTTTTGAATGATCATCAGCAAAATTTTACTTGTATGTGACATTAATGGTATTGCTCAGTAATTTCCACATTCTGTTCGATCATGTTTCTGGGAATGGGCACAAATATTGGTCTCTTCCAGACGGTTGGCCAGGTAGTTGTCTTCCAAATTTCTTGGCATAGACAAATAAGTGCTTCCAGCACTGCATCCCTTTGGTGAAACATCTCAACTGGTATCCCGTCAATTCCTGGAGCTTTGCTTTTGCCGATGCCTTCAGTGCAGCTTGGATTGCTTCCTTCAGTACCATCAGTTCTTGATCACATGCTACCTCCTGAAATGGCTGAATGTCAACCAGTTCTTTTTGGTACAGTGACTGTGTATTTCTTCCATCTTCTTTTGATGCTTCCTGTGTTGTTTATTTAATATTTAACCCGAAGAATCCTTCGATATGCAGCTCGAGCTTGAATTTTCAATTTTTTCAACAGCTTGAGAAAGGCCAAGTATGTTCTTCCCTTTGTTTTTCTAACTCTAAGCTTTTGCATATGTCAATATAATACTTCACTCTGTCTTCTCGAGTCTCCCTTTGAAATCTTCTGTTTAGCTCTTTTACTTCATCATTTCTTCCTTTCACTTTAGCTACTCTATGTTCAAGAGCAAGTTTCAAAGTCTCTTCTGACATCCATTCTGGTCTTTTCTTTCTTTCCTGTCTTTTTAATGACGGCTTGCTTTCTTCATGTATGATGTCCTTGATGTCATTCCACAACTCATCTGGTCTTCGGTCATTAGTGTTTAATCAGTCAAATCTATTCTTGAGACAGTCTCTAAATTTAGGTAGAATATACTCAAGGTCATATTTTGGCTCTTGTAGACTCATTTTAATTTTCTTCAAATTCAACTTGCGTGTGAACAACTGATGGTCTGTTTCATAGTCGCCCCTGGCCTTCTTCTGACTGATGATATTGAGCTTTTCCATCATCTCTTTCAACAGATACAGTCAATTTGATTTTTGTGTACTCCATCTGATGAGATCCACATCTATAATTGCCATTTATGTTGGTCAAAAAGGTATTTGCAATGAAGAAGTCATTGGTCTTGCAAATTCCATCATGTGATCTCCAGCATGATTTATACTACCAGAGCCATATTTTCCAATTACTGGTTCCTTCTTCATTTCCAGTTTTTGTATTTCTATCACCAGTAATTATTAACACATCTTGATTACATGTTTGATCAATTTCAGACTGCTGAAGTTGGTAAAAAAAAATCTTCAATTTCCTCATCTTTTGCATTAGCGGTTGATGCATAAATCTGAATAACAGTCTTATTAACTGGTCTTCCTTGTAGGCGTATGGCTATTATCCTATCACTAACAGCACTGTACTTCAGGATGGATCTTGAAATGTTCTTTTTGACGATGAATGCAATGCCGTTCCTCTTCAATTTGTCATTCCTGGCATAATAGATAATATGATTGTCTGATTCAAAATAGCCAATACCAGTCCATTTCAGTTCACTGATGCCTAGGATATCGATGTTTATGTGTTCCATTTCATTTCTGATGACTTCCAATTTCCCTAGATTCATACTTCATACATTCCACGTATCTATTATTAATGGATGTCTCCAGCTGTTTCTTCTCATTTTGAGTCATGCCACATCAGCAAATGAAGGTCCCAAAAGCTTGACTCCACCCACATTATTAAGGTAGACTCCACTTTGAGGAGGCAGCTCTTCCCTAGTCATATTTTGAGTGCCTTCCAATCTGAGGGGCTCATCTTCTGGCACTATATCAATGTTCTGCTGCTACTCAAAAGGTTTTCACTGGCTAATTTTTTCAAAAGTAGCCCACCAAGTCCTTCTTACTAGTCTGTCTTAGTCTGGAAGCTCCGCTGAAACCTGTCCACCATGGGTGACTTGGCTGTTATATACCAGTGGCATAGCTTCTAGCATCAGAGCAACACGCCAGCTACCATGGCACAACAAACTGACAGATGTGTGGGCAACAAAGTACCTACCTGTACAATTTTTGTATTGCATGGGCTGCATTCTTCCTAACATATGGTGATAAGTCAGCAGCAGCTTCCTTAATAGCAAGCATCATGATAGGTACAATAATTGGCACTCTGATACTGGACAGAACTCTCAAAGCACTTGCACGGATTAGTTGGTTTGGATCCTAAAATAGTGCAAAAATATACATCAAAATTTCAGGTTTACAGCATTTCAAAGGCATCTTTATCATATGGTTAACAGGTTCTTATAGGGTGTAATATAGCCAATAGTAAACAAAAGCTACTTTATTTAAAATGAAAAACCAGTATATGGAAAAGGGTAAAGGAAAAGACAAATAAATGTTTATTTTTTTGAATAATGTTTTAACAAGAAGAATAATAGTTATAATTCTAGCTGACCATTTATTAGTAAACATGCTGGATTTTTGGAGTTTCACAGTAATAAAATATTGCAGGTAATAAATTTTATCTTTAACAAAGTCTTATGTCACCTCATTCACACTATGAACAATTAATTGGTATAATGATAAGCAGTTCTTCGATGCATAATAATGATTATATTGAACATAAAGAAACATATAGAAGCTGTAATACAGAGAGCAAGGTCCAGTTGGTTATATAAATTATTGTTTAAGGGTACTGAATGACATTGTGAGAAGCCTTCTAACTCTTTCAAGACACTAACTACTATGCCACTTAGCGGGTTATGACTCCACTTCTTTTAAATGATGCACCGTCAATTGTGCGGAAACTTTGTAGCTATTTGCCTGTTTACTCTATTACTTACCTTCAGAGCTCGCTGAAAAGTACTTATGGACAAGAGTGCCAGATCCTGCTGTTCTTCAGCATATCGGACCAGGTAAACATATACTAACTTCTTGATCTGTTTTAAAAAAAAAAAAAAGAAAATCATCCAATCTTAGCTAGAGTGAAAATTAAAAACTCAATAACTCAATTATATTACCAAAATCCATTCTCAATTTTCTCCAATAAATAAGTGAACTTGGTCATGGCTTGGACTGTAAATAAAGATTCTGTAGAATAATGAATGACACCAGAAAAAGCTTTTGAAATAAGCATTTTAATAATCAGATTCATAACATCAACATCCTATCCAAATGTCTTGGTGGCACAGTGGTTAAGAGCTCGGCTGCTAACCAAAAGGTCAGCGGTTCAAATCCACCAGCCACTCCTTGGAAACTCTATGAGGCAGTTCTACTCTGTCCTATAGGGTCACTATGACTTGGAATTGACTCAACGGTAACAGGTTTTTTGGATCCAAATGTCCTTCCTCTCAAAGGGTGGGGGTGGGAGGAGGTAATCCCTAAGCAAAACACACACAAAAATATTAAAATGTTAACTGAACTGCAAAAATCTTTTCAAAGTGAGGGATACAAGATAATGGAAAGAATTTGGGTCCTGTTCACTAACTATATGATATCTGGACTTTGGATTCCTTATCTGTCAAAAGATACTGGAGTCCCAGGTATTTCTGATTCTATGGTAATATACACATTTCAATATACATTACATGATATTTTCAGCTCTCTAAGAATATTGTCTGAAAACAATGCCAATTTAACATAATAAAAGTTCTGAAAGGCTGAAAATGTCTCCTGAAAACAGTTTTTAAAGGCAATTCAATTACTACGTTTATAACAAAACTATGACGAATAAATGAAAATTAGAATTTGAATTGAAATTGATCAACTGCTTCCTTCTGGTCTTACTGCTCATAGTTTATATGTCTCTTCTCAAAAATCCTCAGATGCCACTTCCTGATTAATTTTCTTACAATGTCAACAGAGTACAGACCTTAAAGTTTATGCAATGTTTAAGGAACATAGGAAATGAAGGGAAACAGCTGAAAATGATGCTGGAAAGAAAGAACAGTGCTACGCTGAGCCATATTTTATACCATACTAACCAATCCGGACTACTTGAAAGACAACTGCCACAGCCTTCCTTCCCTCACATCCCAATTTCCCTTGATATACAGCATAGTTTTCCTTCACCATACTGCTTGTTCTCTCCCGAACTCACTACAATTTGTCTACATCTCTTTCACTGTGGCGCTCCAAACTACAAATGATGTTTAACCAGACAAACTAGATAAGTTCTTGCTCCAGATGACGTACTTCCACTGATCCAACCAATTCTTGATTAAAATTATACACATTTTCCAAATGTACAGCTGACTAAATCATACTGTACTTAAACAACTGTCCTAGTGTTTTGTTTGTTTTCTTTTAAACCAAGGGTGTCATGGTTCGAATTACGTCCCCTCAAAAATGTATCTATCAATTTGGCTGGGCCATGATTCCCAGTATCGTGTGGCTGTCCTCCATTTTGTGATTGTAATTTTATATTAAAGGGGATTAGGGTGGGACTGTAACACCATTACTAAGGCCACATATCTGATCCAATGTAAAGGGAGTTTCCCTGGGGTGTGGCCTGCACCACCGTTTTATCTTACAAGAGATAAAAGGAAAAGGAAGCAAACAGAGAGCTGGGGAACTCATACCACCAAGAAAGCAGTGCTAGGAGCAGAGCACATCCTTTGGACCTGAGGTTCCTGTGCTGAGATGCTCCCAGACCAAGTGAAGACTGATGCACCACAAGGACCTTCCTCCAGAGCTGACAGAGAGAGAAAGCCTTCCCCTGGAGCTGATGCCTTGAATTTGGACTTGCAGCCTACTAGACTGCGAGAGAATAAATTTCTCTTTGTTAAAAGCAATCCACTTGTGGTATTTCTGTTACAAAAGTACTAGATGACTAAGACAAAGGGCAAAATCTTACTTTCATCCACAGAAATTTTCAACAATTTAGATTCAGCCAATTACAGCTCCCTCTAAGATCATTTTAGACTTTACTTTTATAATCCAACATATTTTGCTATTCTCCAGGATTTCATGAGCACAAGTGAAAATTTAATAAGCATGCTTTGTAGACCTCCACAATTATTAACAGAAAATGCTAAACACAGCCATTTTAAGTTGATATCAATCCATTCATCTATAAAATATGAGCTGGGTCATCAGTGAAACAAACACAAACACATTTCCAATTACTCTTCAATCCTGAATGGCTCCACAAAATTTAAAATCCTTAGTACAGCCTATAATCTGCCCCAAACATCCTTTTTAGCCAACAGGAACAGTCACTGTTCTCCAAATATGACTTGGCAGTTTTTGTCTCTATCTCCACCCAACCTACTATCATGTTCCTCTCCCCCAAGTTTCACTTATCAAAATTTTCCACAAGAGCAAAAATGAAACAATATAAATGTTTGTCAATAGATGAACAGTAAAATACATTATAGTACATCCACATAATACTACTATGCATCCATTATACAGAATTAAGGAAACTTATATTTGATATCCACCATCCGTCAGTTTGTCATACTGCAGTGGCTTGCATGTTGCTGTGATGCTGGAAGCTATGCCACCAATATTTCCAATACTAGCCAGGTCACCCAGGGTGGACAGGTTTCAGCAGAGCTTCTAGACTAAGACAGACTAGGAAGAAAGGCCTGGCACTCTACTTCCAAAAATTGGAAAACCTTATGGATCACAATAGAACACTGTCTGATTCTCTTGCTTTGGATATGTCAGCAGGAGAGATCAATTGCTGGAGGAGGACATCATGTTTGGTGAAGCAGAGGTCAGCAAGAGTGAGGGAGATCCTCAGTGAAATGGATTGGCACAATAGCTGCAACAATGAACTTGAACATTCTGGGCAATCATAAGGATGACACAGGACTGGGCAACATTTCATTCTATTGTACATAAGGTCTTCATGAGTCAGAGGTGACTCTACAGCAGCTATCTATCTATATTTGATATTGAAAATATATCCCTATAAAATTTGGTTTTGGTTTTTTTTTTGGTGGTTTGTAGTTTATTACACACATGCATGTTGTTTCTTTTATACCTCACAATGACCCTGTGACGTGGATATTATGATTGTCTCTGTTTTCCAGATGGGGAAACTGAGGCTCAGAGAGACTTAGTGACTTTTAGGACCACCCTGGGACTGAAATCTAGTTCTAGATTTCTAGCTCAAAGTCAAGGTTCTTTCCATGAGTCTGCCATGGTGACATGAGGCATCACACCATAAACCACTCAGTGACCTAACCATTTAAAAAGAACACAGATCTAATGTTGCCACGTCAGGTCAGATTCAGGAAGAGAGTCCACAGTTTGACCTCGGCCCCTGATGGTTTATGGGGGCATGATTATTTCAAAGCTGGAGATGTACTCTTCTAACCATTCCCACAGAACCTGTAGGAAACTGTTTACCACGTTTTACTCATTGCTATTGATTGAGCAACTTCAAGGCTGTATCCTTCAAAGCTTTAGATAAAAACAAATGTTGAGCCCTACGTGTGTCCTTAGCAGCATGGTGGAGGTGGCAGAAAGGGGACCAGGGTGTTAGATTTTTTTTTTTTTTTTTGGTGCTGTTGTTTTTACAAAAGACTAAAACAAACAAAAACCAAAAACAAACAACAAAACCCCACGTGTGTCAGAGCAGAACTGTGCTCATAGGGTTTTCAATGGCCGATTTTTCAGAAGTAGATTGCCAGGCCTTTCTTCCGCCTTTATAAAATTTTTAAAGGTGGAAAACAGTATGTATTATATGATGTCAGATCTGTATTTCAAAAATAGATGCACACATACTGTATTCAACCAATCTAAGAGGTATCATTATTTTATGGACCTCTAAGAAAGGAACCGAAAGCAAACAAACAAACAAAAAACCCCACCTGCTAATTATAAGTCACCATTAATTGTTAAAATATATCCCAAATGCAGAAATTTTAAAATAGAAAACACATGTCTTACAATGGACCTAATATGGCAACAACAGCAAATACTTATATATAACACTATGGGCCAGGCACTGTTCTAAATTCTTAGATTAATTCATTCTATCTTCATAAGAACTCAATGAACAGGTATTATTATTACTATTATTCCTATTTTACAGATGAGGAAACAGGCAGAGAAGATAAGTAACTTGACCAAAATGTCAAATCCAATAAATGGCAGAGCCAGGATTCAAACCAAGTAGGCATAAAAAGTGGAGAAATCTACACAGTAATATGTTAACAGTGATTATCTCTGGGTGATGGTATTAATCAGTGACCTTTGCTCTTTATATCTTTCTGTATTATTTATTTTTTACAATGAATATTAATTTTGTGTTCAGATAAAACAATACAGATATCTGCACTTAAGAGGTGAATCTCATCTTTCCTGATGTCCTTCAACACAAAAGAAAAGTACCTTCTCTGATTCTAATATATTAAACTTTTTATTTTAAAAAATGTCAAACTGATCATTTTAAGTTCCTACATTCCTAGGAAAAGACAGATTGCTCTGTGGCCTTGGCAACACACAACCATCAGAAACTGTTTTAAACCTGTTCAATAAATCAACAACTCACCCAAGTGAACAAGCTTTTGCAAGTCAACCAATCTGTGACAGCCCCTTGCTTCTTAAAGTTAGCCAATCAGGAACGAACTCACTCCAATAAACACACTTCTGAGGGCCAATCAATCAACAGTCTCACCCAAGTGACTACACATCTACAAATTATGTAAAACCCATTTAGGCCCCCTAAAAGTCCACAAATCCCTAAACTCCACCCTCCCAAAAAACACTTCTCAGATCAGTTGCCTTTTGTGCTCAGAGAACCAAGCCTAAATAGCAGTCTCCCTTGCTACTGTTGTTGTTGCATGTTGTCAAGTCCATTCCTACTCATAGCAACCTACAGGACAGAGTAAGCAGTAAATTCATTGTCTTTTTATTTCAGATATTGAGTGTGGGGTTTCATCATCTTTCAACACAATCTACTTAAAAGTTAAGTAGGTTCACT